TTTGCTAGAAACTTTATCACTTCGCTAGAAGTGATAAAGAAACTTTATCACTTCGCAACTGCGCCTGAGCTACTCTCATTTGTGAGGCAAGTGTCGAGATGGGCTCCTGAAGCAGAGATGGCTCGATGCACTTCTGAGGGAGTCGATTTGTTATATCGGCACACCCCTCAGAGAACTATGCTAACAGTTAAGAAGATTGAATCATACTTGGTGCGTCAATCTCTATCTTTGGTACCAGCAGACAAAGAGGGTGGATTTGTGATCATGCCACGGGACGTTTTTGGAACCAAGGCCGTGTTAGCCATTGACTCGGTTTTCCAGCGTAACACTAGTATCTCATTAACCAAGGTCAAAAGTGAAGCAAAAAAATTATGCAGTGAGCTAGAGCTAAAACAATTGTGCTCCTCTATTGAACGCAGTAGGCACCTTAGCTTAGAGCTGTTTTTCAGCGCGAAAACTCATAAAGTAGATTGCCCATTAAGGGTGATTGTATCTGAGAAAGGGTCGTGGCAGAAGTCTGTTGCCATATTTTTGCAGGAGAAATTAAATCTCTTGCCGGTTGAGGATCCTTTTATGCTAAAAGACTCTAGCGAAGTGATGAAGTTTCTAGCAAACTCTAATGACTGGCATCTCGAGGCCTTCTCAGTGGACATAAAGGACCTCTACTACTCTCTGCCGCAGGATGAGCTGTTGAAGTGCGTGGAAGACTGCATTGACTCTTTTGGTGTTATTGCTTTTCAGACCGCGTCAGGAATTTCCCAAGGTGGTTTCCTTGAATTGCTCACCGTATATTTAAAATCTACTTTTGCTTGTTGGGAGGGTAACACCTTTCTCCAAAAAGCAGGGGTATGCATTGGTTCATGCATAGCACCAGTTTTGAGTCACCTTTACCTCGCGCATCGGGACCGGATCCTTTCACGTAGCTTAGATGCTTCTACTGTTGTGAAGGTGTTTCGCTTTGTTGATGATTTTTTGATTGTGCTAGATTGTGCAGCTAATGACTTTCAAATTTTGGTCTCTAACGTTCTTTCCTGTTTTAAATCCTGTATAGATCCACTAGAAATCACTCATGAGCACCCCACAGAAGGTTCCTTGCGGTTCTTGGACCTCAGATTAATTTTTTCGGAGCATCAAGTATGTTGGTCATACGAACCGAGAGGGAAGAAACCTCTTCTTAATTTTCAGTCAGCACACTCCAAGCTTGTTAAGCGAGGCATTGTTAAATTATGTCTCACCAATGCGCTTAATAAGTCTTGTATTCATTCACTTAAGGCTAGCTTTAATGCTCAAATTGCCAGGTTAAAGTCAACAGGATATCCTAGTGCATTACTTACAGCCGTGGCAGAGGATTTATTAAAGAGAATAAGATGGGGTGAACGACCTAAACGCAGTACAAAACAGAAAAGGACGGCCGTTATTCCATATATACATGAAGTTTCGCACGGTCTAAAAAAGATAGGTAACCGCATTAACATTAATGTTGCTTTTTCAGCACCAAATAAGCTTCTAAGCCTGTGCAGGAAGGTAAACGGATCGGCACACCGGGAAGTTGGTTGTTCGAAAAAGCACCAAAAGAGCTTTGTAAATTGTACTGAAGGAGTCGTATATTCTGTCCCACTCTCATGTGGTAGAGAGTATATAGGCCAGACTGGAAGGTGTCTGAACGATCGTTTAAGAGAGCATTTTTATAACACCCACCGAGTCGTAGCTGGACACTTGGGAATCCATTGTCGTGATTGTGCCTGTGTAGCACATTTTGAAAATTGTTCTGTGATAGGTAGGAGTAGAAACGCATTGACTAGAGAAATAATAGAAGCGGAAAGAATAGCACAGTTGAAGGACAAGTGTGTAAGTAGTCCTTCTATAGCGCTGTCGACCAAAGAGCTCCAATTTCTATCTAAATGATAGCGATGAGGGAGAGGGACGATTTGTAAAAGTGTTTCGTTTAGATATGTTTTCCGTTTCTTCATTTTTCTTTCTTTTACTGTTCTTTTGCCTTCTCTTTAGAATTTTCCTTTGTATTTCGTGCTACGTCTTCTACTTATCACGTTCTGAAAAGTCAACCAAGACGTTGAAGAGAAAAATGAAGTAATCGAATACACAAGAGTTGTAAGAGCGCGCGCTTGACCGCCGACTAGGAAGGACGTGTCCTTTCGAAGCTCCGCAACCCAACCCAGCGCGCCCAAGTCGATCATGGTCGACAAATTTGCAGCCACATTTGCTGCAGTTCTACGCCAGTCCTTGGCCCAGCCACCGGCTCAACCAGGACTTGCGACACCCATCAGCTCGGCCTCTTCGCCATGGTTCCGGCCGGCTCCAACACCGGCCGTATCCACCGCCATGACAGCATCCCAGCGCCAGCCCGCCCAGGCCCTGCCGCAAGGTATGCTCAACTTCTGCAAATCGATGGTAGGCCGCTACCCCGAACAAGTATCCGAAGCAGACATGCACGCCTGCCTCCAGACGGCGATTTCTGAGGTCCGCTTGAAACGCAACTCGAAACTCGGCCTGACTAAGGACCCATCACACCAAGCCTCGTCTACTCCCAGGCCTAACACGGGGCAAACCACTACCATCCCGTCACGAAAACCACCGAAGAAAAAACTCGACAACGCCGACGTCGCGATTGAACACCACGCGCCCGGCGACCAAGACATGGAAGCGGCGTCGTCAGAAATGACCCCGTCGGCGACAACAGCTGCCCAAAATCCTTCCTCAAGTGGGCTTTCCTCTTGCTCTGATGGCGCTGCCGCGGCCTCAACGTCGCTGTTCACCTTCACAGCTAACAAAGAAGAAAACAGCGACAACGATCACAACTCGCCCCACCCATGGGTGACAAAGCTTTCAAAACAAGCGGCCAAGAGAGCACGCCTTAGCGCAAAATCCAACACGCGCACCGTGGACTACCCGCCTAAACCCAAAACGCAAGAGCGCCACATAATCACATTGCGCCCAAAGACCAAGACAGACGTCACAACTCTCCCAAAAAAAGGGCTAATGGAGGCCATCACCGCCTCCGTCCAGCTCGCACCGGGTGCGGTCTCCATTAAAACCACCAAGGAAACCAACACAATAACCGTCATGGTAAACTCCGAGGCAAACCATATAAAATAGCGCAACAGAAACAAGGACAAGAAGTAAACAGGACAGGCGCTAACTAACAATACTTCGGAACGGAAAACCCTCCTTATGCGTCTTCACATTAAAAAAAAGCCTTTAAAGTAACGTTTTTCGAATCGCCGACAGCTTTTGCCAGTTTTTGCAGCTCTAGGCTCTTACACAAAGAAACAGCAGTCTTCTTTACCTTTAGCGGTTTGACGTCAGCCAGGGCAAAGTTCTTCATGACGGCCTTTTCTGCACGGTCCTTGAAAATATCAGACGGCATAACAACGAAGCCGCCCTCTTTGTCCGCTTGTAAGAGTCGAAGACCTTTTTCCCTGAAAAAAGGACCTGACCTGTTGCGTGTCCTGTGCTACACGTATTACACTGACTGTGTGGCTGAGGGCAACTTTCCTTCCTTTCGACGTCTAGCCGCGCAAACTACAGAGTTTTGGTGGCATTGCACCCTTCTTCGAGTGCCCAGGACAGCCGAGAAAAAAGCAACAGCCCCGGATGGTTTGATCGTGCTGGGCGACACCAGCATTCCAGCTCAAATATCCTCTGCCCTCAAGAAAGGACCGAAATTCAGCACCGAGCCAAAGATTCCAGCCCATGAGCTTCTTTCTCTTAATCGCCGAATGTCCAACAAGGCGGAGCAGGAAGACCGTGAACGATGTCTTCTTGATGGTGCTGACTGTCTTCTGCGAACGATGACCAGGAGTTCTCGCCGAGGCAGGGAATCGACTGACAGTGTGGTGACTTTTTTCAGGGAAAAAGGTCTTCGACTCTTACAAGCGGACAAAGAGGGCGGCTTCGTTGTTATGCCGTCTGATATTTTCAAGGACCGTGCAGAAAAGGCCGTCATGAAGAACTTTGCCCTGGCTGACGTCAAACCGCTAAAGGTAAAGAAGACTGCTGTTTCTTTGTGTAAGAGCCTAGAGCTGCAAAAACTGGCAAAAGCTGTCGGCGATTCGAAAAACGTTACTTTAAAGGCTTTTTTTAATGTGAAGACGCATAAGGAGGGTTTTCCGTTCCGAAGTATTGTTAGTTAGCGCCTGTCCTGTTTACTTCTTGTCCTTGTTTCTGTTGCGCTATTTTATATGTTTTACTAAGATGAACCAACTAGCCCAACAACGTGCCTTACTAAACTCCGAGGCCACCGCCCAAACCCTTCTTGGCATTACCGAAATCCATATTGCTGGGAAACCGCCTCTACCCATCCAGGCATACAAGCCAGTCGGCGACAACCAAATCCGCGGTGTCATCTATGGCATCGACCAGGGAGAAGACAATGTTTCACTGATGGCATGCCTGGAGACTGAGGGGTCAGTGATTGTGGCAGCTCGGCCGATGAGTCGAGGAGGCAATACTGCACTCATCACCTTCCAGGGAACCCATCTACCCAGACACGTCTGGTACAGGCGCAGCGTCCTGCAGGTGTACCCGTACAGGGCACGAGCTGTGACCTGCAGCAACTGCCATAAGATCGGCCACAAGCCGGACATCTGTCCAGAACCCCAGGTCTGCTCCACGTGCGGAAAGCCCCACGAAGAGACAATGGACGACCAAGGAAGCGTGACCTGCCCTTCCCCCATCCCTTTCTGCCAAATGTGCCGAAAGAATGGACACCTGGCTACAGACAAATACTGCCCAAGGAGACTTGATATTGTCCGCAAAATTCGAGAGGCGGCGCGACGGCGCACCACTCCTCCGGGGTCTCAAGACAACTCAAAGCGCATCCGACAAGACTACCGCAAGAAGCGGGGAAACGGTCAACAGCCTGCGCCCCAGCTAACTGCTCCTACAACGATTACCATCGACCCTGCCATGCTGCTCCAGCTCTTCACGGCCATCGCCGCCCAGACCGGCACTGCCGTGCAAAGCAACGTTAACCCTCCAGCATGGCAGTAAACGTTACCCAGTGGAACTGCCGAGGTTTGCGGTTACGTGCCGCAGAACTCAAAGCCACGCATCACAACAAACCACAGGAACGCCCAGACGCCTACCTACTGCAAGAAGTCTACTGTACCACCGTCAAGCTGACCGGCTATAAGTCCTACGCAAATCCCTCGATACCGTCCGTTAGGGCGGGCCAGTTCGGAGGCCGGGAAGGACAAGCCATGGTCTATATCAAGAAACACTGGCCGCAGCACAAGATCGACCTTCAACAATGGTGCACGGAACATCAGGAAGTGGTAGCCGTCCGAACCACCCAGCAAGACATTCCTGTCATTCTGGTGTCCGTGTATTACCGACCTGGGGCTTCCGTCAGGGAACCCAGGGACCACGGATGGATTGCTCACCTTGACGGCCTTTACCCAAAAGAGCAGAAGATAGTCGGGGGAGACTTCAACCTCCAACACACAGCGTGGGGCTACGCCAAGGACACCTCGGCAGGCCAAAATCTTTTGAATGAAATGACCCACCACCGCTACACCCTGATGAACACCGCAGGGATGAAGACACGGCTGAGCTGCAACGCTCGGCAGAATCACACCACCCCAGATACCACCTGGACAAACAGCCCACACACGGCCAACCACACTTGGAAGCCGGAGGCCGACACTCGCGGGAGCGATCATCTGCCCATCAGGATAGTCCTGGCCCTCAACGGATCGGCGGCCTCCAAGCCCGGGAAACGGCTCGTACATGTCGTGAACTGGGACCTGTACCGGAGCAAACTCCAAAGCAGCACAGCACCAACGGTCTTCGAGTCCATCAAGGAGGCCCTCCTGGCCGCGACCACGAAGAAACAAATAAAGCTCGACACTCCCATCCCGGACCTTCACCTGTTGAATCTCTGGGCTCGGCGGCTGAGGGCTCTACAACGCTACAGAAGAGGCCCGAAAAACGCGAGAGCCTTGAGGGAGGTGACAAGAGCCACGGTAGCTGCCCGTAAATATGCGGTTCAACTCGATCGGCAAAAGTGGCTGGAGTTCAGTGCCTCGCTCTCGGAAAAAACATCTGCTCAAAAACTATGGGCAGTCAGCAGAGCCATGCTGGGCAAAACAAGGGATCGCACAGCGACCCTCACGCTCGCACTCACGACAAAGAAGACGGTTGAAACGCTGGCGCTAGAGGCTGGAGACACGCTCTTCCCCCAGCCAGCGGCGACCAGCACCCCACCAGCTGTGGGGGACCCATACGAAAGGGTCAAGATCAACGAGAAGGACCCCATGAACCAACCTTTCACCAGAGGAGAAATGGAGGACGCTCTGCACCACGGGAAACCAAACGGCGCTCCAGGTCCGGACGGAATAACTACCGCTATGCTCCGAAACCTTCCCGAAGCCACAAAAACTCGGCTTCTTGAAGACATTAACGAAGTGTGGCGCACTAGCAACATTCCAGACCAGTGGAAACTCTCCACTGTTATTCCAATTCCTAAGCCCGGCAAGAAGCCGACCACCTTAGCCAACTTCCGTCCAATCTCTCTCACCTCCTGCGTCTGCAAGCTGGTGGAGAGAATGCTACTCGGCCGCCTCTCCTGGTATCTGGAGCGGACGAAAGCCTTTCATCCGACGCAGACAGGGTTCAGAACTGGCCTGGGCACGCAGGAAAGCCTTATCCTACTCTCCAAAGATCTTATCCCAAAGCCCATTCCACAGAAATTTAAAATCAGAACAGTCGTCGCGATCGATGTCAAAAAAGCCTTCGACAGCGTCCCACACTGGGCAATTGTCCAAGAAGCGTGCGCCCTCGGCATTGAAGGCCGCGCCCTAAATTTCATCAAGTCTTTCCTCGAGACTCGCACCTTCGCGGTCCGGATCGGCAAACACCTGGCAGCGCCAAAACCGAACAAAGTGGGAGTTCCACAAGGGTCAGTTCTGTCCCCACTCCTCTTCAATTTGGCCATGGCGCGTCTCCCCGGTCGACTGCAACAGGTATCCAACCTCCACTTCACCATCTATGCGGACGACGTTTCCCTCTGGACAGTGCGCGGCGACGTTCCGCAACAACAGCGCATCCTTCAACGGGGGATCGACGTCTTGACAAGTCACCTCCAAAGCGTAGGCTTAACCGCCTCGCCGGATAAGACAACCTACGCAGTCATAGCCCCCAGGCGGGAAAGGGACGCGAACATCAGCTCAACTCTTCACTTGACTCTCGCGGGCCAACCGATCAGATCAGCACCTGAGGTACGCATCCTAGGACTACAATTCCACGAGGATGGCACCGCAAAGGCTTGGCTAACAATGGTCACCCAACAGTGCCAGGCAGCACTAAACGTCATTAGAAGGATCAGCGGCACCAGAGGAGGCGCTGACGAGGAAGTTGCCCGCCGCATGGTGAAAACCCTCATCGTCTCCCGCATCTGCTACGGTGCCCCCCACTACCGACTTACCAACACACAATGGAAGAAACTGGAAATCCTTACCAACAACGCAGCTCGAATTGTCACTGGCCTCCCCCGATATACACCGCTAGACAAGCTCAAGGCACACGCGAAGCTCAACACGGCTCGAGAAACCGTAGAGGAGAGAGCACGAGCTCATCTAGAGCGACTCCAACACTCAGCCTCCGGACGACAAATCCTAGAGATGATCGGATCAGATATCAGAGCCCTTCCCCCTCTCCCGGAGGTTGACCCCCCATGGAGCGACGATGTGTGCCTCGTGGACGATCGACCAGTACCAAGGGGAGCCGGGCCCAGTCGCCCTGGCAAGCAAGCTTGCCAAGTGCGACAGCACTGCAAACTCGTCCAAGAGTGGACGGACACCAATGAGAAGCTCGCAGTATACACTGATGCGGCTTTCGTCTCCTTCCCTAAACCGATTTGCTCCGCTGCGGTTGTGATTCCCCGCCTAGGAATCACCATGGCCGAAACATTGCCCGGCGGCACATCGGTCAAGGGCGGAGAACTTGGAGCTATCCAACTGGCACTGCGCACCGTCATCGAGAAGGAAATCCGACCGACACACCTACAGATTTTCACTGACTCTGCGGCTGCATTAATAGAATGTCGCTCTCGCCACTCCCCGAACAAGCGAGTTAAGGCAATCCGAAGGATGGCCTCCGACCTAATTACAGCCGGTACAACCATCAAAGTGTCCTGGATACCTGCCCACGCAGACATTCAGGGCAACGTACAAGCTCACTGCATGGCCCGCGCGCATCTGGATTCCCCCCGCGAGCCGAGTAGTGTGCCAAGTCACCTACAAGAACACGGGTACTCGCTCCCGCCTGAGCTTGGCGACGATGGCGAAGACCCAGACTACGACCCTGAGGAGGCAAAACAGCTCGTTAAAGAATCCTCAAGACAGACCCTGAGGGCAGCCCTGACCCCCTGCGTAAATCCGCTCCCGAGCGGAATGGGCAGGGGATCAACGGTGCTGCTCCGGAGGATAATCACAAACACCACATGCACACCGGCACGCAGGACGCATTGGACCAAGCCACCTACATCACCCCATTGCAGCTTCTGTCAAGACCCCAGCCTTCTTGCCGACCAAAGCCACTTACTCTGGGACTGTCCGGAGCTGGAAGAGATTCGCCGAAAACACATACCACCAGACGTATCCAGCATGGAGGAATGGGTCCATCCTCAGGGCCCTCCCGACAAACGTCGGGCAGTTATGACCACGCTCGTGGATTTCATCTACGATGCGGGGCTCACCGCCTATCTATAACCCCCCTCAACCCCTCAACCCCTTCCCTTGGCCATAGATCCAGGCTTGTAAGCCACCGATTTCAGCCCCATTCTCCCTCCCCCAAAGGCCAATAAACGCTTTCTGAACTGAACAAGAGTTGTAAGTTCAGCGCGTGCGTGTGCTTGTCTTCCTGAGTGTCTGGTGTGAGATTGATTTTTCCTGCGCTGTCACTGTCAAGTATGGTTCACCAACTCGCCCAAGCTTCCATCCTATCAAGTCGCACGTACTTGCACTTATGGGGCACCAGTCCGGGCGCCATGCTTGCAACTGTCTACACACCATTCCAATATTTAGAAGTTTTCTGCGCGCGACCTCCTCAGCCCAGCACGCGCGTGTTCGTCGCTTGGGAAAGAGAGCAAATCACGCGCCATACGCACGAACACTGAAAATGAAACCCACCAGGAACCCTTTTCTGGAAAGGTCGCATGGCGGCGGAGCAGTTGCTCGTGACAATAAGTGTCTAGCGTGTTACCTCAAGACTGGTTGGCTGTATTTGTAAGAAACGCCAAGCGTGAATTTTTTCGAGGGCTTTAGACCAAGCTCGATAACAGCAACCTAGATCGAGCCTTCTTTTTTCATTTTTTTTGCACATACTTTTTTTTTTTGTTTGTTCTTTTTTTATTTACTTGCTCTACTTATTTTATCGAACTTCCGTTTCAGGTTCTTTTTCTTTTCTTCAGCCCACATCATCGCAAGGATACGACCCTTCTGTACTGGCATTAGACAGCGATCGTCATCACCGAACAACCCGGGTCCCGCTCCAGGTGCGTTGACATTTCTACCGCCGCGGAAAATTTGCAATCGATGGTGGACAGTGATAATCCCAAATTGATAGCGGGTAGCATGACATGAATGCTTGCATGCTACCGGCTTAGTTTCACCAGGAAGTAGCAGCAGACAAGCCCCTGCAGTCTTTCCAGCAGTGTACTAATTCTTCACAAGCATTTTTCTTTTTTGCCGCGAGGTAAAATAAATTAGGCGTAGCGAAAAAAGAATAATAATAATTTAGGGCAGAGGTGCTTAAAGTATTAGGAAGATGGGGGCGGGTGTGGGGACCCCCCCCCCCCCCCCTCCCCCATTGTCCACTTCAAATGTTAAAGCGGGAGATTCCTCGTTGCGACGCCACTATATAATGTAGGAAATCTGCGAGCAGTAGACTTATTAACCATGTTGGATTAACCTGAGGTTTTGATGCTTCTCCTCTACACCAGTGTGAGATTAATCCAACATGGTTAATGCTCACCAGCTCGCCTGCACCCTTACGATATTTACTAGACTTACCTTCTTTTTTTTTTTTACTGAGACTATGTCATTGGGATTAGCCCAATAAAGCGCCATTAACACTGCAGTTAAGGGTTCAGCATTTGATAAGGACTGTCGGGGTTAAACACTACTCGCTAGCTATACGCATCACACGTCCACTCGAGTGTAGTAGAATATCACACCGACACTCGAGATTAGGGAGGTTTAGAATAGCGTACGCAAAGTATTTGCATGCGCAAAGAAGCGTCGTCGCCACTACGCATGCGCCGAACGCTAACTGCGGTTCTCGCTTTGCGTGCGCTATTTTAGCGTGCACTACTTTTCGAATATTGCGTGCGTACGCAAAGGGTCTTTGCGCTCCTCCAAGGAGGATTCGTGATGAGAACTTGGCTCAAACGAAGACGAGCAAAGTTAAAAAATGTCGACTCCCAGGTGCGCGGCCGCGGCCACTTTGGCTTGGGTTTGGCGGCGTCGTGAGTGCGACGTCGGCGGCATCCTTGCAACTGCGATTTTCAACGCAGGACTACATTCCAGAAAGAGTAAGTAAACAGGCAAGCCGGTTGATGTTACACATATTTGAAAAAAAAAACAAAAAAAAAACGGAGATGATAGAGGGAGAAGGGGACATGCACAAAACGTCTCAAAGATTGAGACGTTTTGTGCGTGTCGCCTTCTTCGTCTATAGTCTCTGTTTTTGTTTTTTTGTTTTTCAACTATGTGTAACATTGTATTTGGTTTCGAAGACCCTGTAAGGTGGGCAACAATCGTCGGCAACTTGATGCTTGCGAAGCGCGAACATTTCTCGGCTATGGTATACGGCGTTGCCGAGGCGATGAAGCGGACCCGACCGGTCGACCGCTCCCGTCGCATTCTCATACTTGAACAAATATAAAATTTCACTGTAAATTTTTAGAAACAAACCTTTTTTTTTCAGGCTACAGCGTTGCAAGCGAAAGATGTTTGGGCTTTTGCGTCGCGGCGGAGAAGCGCTATTCTAAAACTCTCTCGCGTCGCGTGCGCTGTCGCAATCGTTAAAGTTAGCGCTAGCGTGCGCTAAAATCACACAAGTTATTCTAAAGCTCCGTATTAGGGACCTATAGTCGGTGGCAGGTTAAGAGTAAAGTGGGAGCTCTTCCAACATCTCTCTCCCCTTTGGCGGAGCGAACGCTGAAGAGGGGCGACCTCCTCTCCAGCCTTCGCTCTGCTAAAGAAGAGGGAGGTGCGAGGAGCTTCCACTTGACTCTAAACCTATCACTGAACATAGAAGAATCAAAGCCTGCGAACACCCTCCTTTCCCTACATGAAATGTCATCACACTCGGATGCCGCCGACTCAGCAATTGGACACGATCCCAATGCCTAGTGTGCTCCGACGCGTTGATTGGATACGAGCCCCTGCCGAGCGCTGATGCACGCAGCATGGGCTTTCAATTTGTGTCTTCGCTCGATCTCGCTGCGATGGCGTCGAGATCCTATAGTGCACAGACTTTGATTGCTCCAGGGGGCGTTCACCGGGGCCACCCGCAACATGTTCGAGCGAGCAGAACACGGCAAGACCGGGACCCGTCTGATCAAGGAGGCTCACGCGGCCCAGGGGATCCAGGAATGCTCTATCACGGACAACGGCAAAGGCTCTTGTCAACCGGTGTCAGGGAGCCAGTGCTGGACTGCGCGCATGGGTGTAAGACCGTACAGCTTATACACTAACGCTCTAAACCCACTTCAGACGGTCGGCGAAAATCGGTTTCGAAACGTATCGCGCTGTGATTTACTACAGAAATGCGGCTAGGTGGTAAAAGCTTAGGTACATTAAAAATATATTAAAAAAAAAAAAACCTCTTGCCTCGTTAAAAAAAGAAAAAAAAAAACTTATTTTGGGCAAATTACAATAGCATTCACAGACGGTGCGTGCTGTCTGCGGAATGCTGCCGACAGATGTCGGAAGCTTCGCGGACTCCTGGTAGGGGGCCTGTAGTGCAGAGAGTTCCCAACTGTTCGATCGGGGTGACGTGGTTTATGGGCCGCCTTTGCAATACGAGCTGCGAGGAGGAGTCGGACGCGCGGATCGTCTGCGAGCGTCTCAGCCTTTCCGCCTGCTTTCCTCCTTGCCTTGCGAAAGTGCAGCAGCGCATGTGCACTTGCGACCAATTTCCGCCGGAGGCATCCGCCATTAAGTTGCAAACGCTCCTGGTGATTTCAGATGAACCCTTTCTACAATTTAGGATGTCTAAAAGCTGGTGTCGAGCTTAGCAGACGACCTTCGAGAAGTTTTTGACTACGATTCCTCAGCACGGAACGGGTCTTTGTAATGCGTGATTTTCAAAGTGCAATTTTTTTTTTTAATTAATTAAATACGAAAGGACGTGTTTATATCCCCCATAGCCCCTCATTTCTTGCACGAACATAATCGAGGGAGGCGATTACTTGCGCCATCTGTCAACTGCACTTACAAGTCGGCGAGCACCGTTATGGCACCGTCTGCGATTGCCTTCGTAAATTGCCCGAAACAATATTTTTTTTGTCGTTTTTGAACAAGGTAAATTCCTCTGTTGATAATTCGACTCCCAACTTTCACCTTCTAGCCGCACCTGTGCAGTAAACCACAGCGCGATACTTTGACAAGCCGATGTTTGCCAACCGTTTGAAGTTGGCTCGAAGCGTTAGTGTATACATGCTGCAGAACCGACGATCTATATAGTTGTATTGCCAAGAGCCGCTGGGCGTCTCCCGACTGCCGAAGCACTCCAGTTTCGGCAGTCAATGGTGTTGCGTCTACCTATAATATACAATGTCTTGTATGAAATGAAATGGAATAATGCATTGCGGGTTCTCAGAGACCGACTGCTGTGTGCCCCGTGTAACACAATGTTACGTTCGGCGTTCGAAATGCATTTACAGCTGAAGAGGTGTGCCCTTCCCGTGGTCATGACTCTGCTCCCCAGTGTCGGCGGGTGCGTCGGAGCCGTCTATCTACGCAGGGAATACCGCTTCTGGTACCAGGTACGCCGACCTCTATAATCATTTTATTCCTTTTGTTTTTGTACATACCAAGAGTTGGACATGCTAAAAATTCTATAGTCTAAGAGGGAACCTCTTAGACTATAGTATTCTTAGTTTTTTATTAGTTTCTTTCCGCCAACAATCGTCGTTTTAGCACCTCTTTGAAGCAGATGACTGAAATATACCGATATCCTAAAAATAAATAAACACCGAAAATCATCAGCCGATTTCCGTTATAAATAAGCACCGAAAAGTGTACCGCCCCATTACAACTTAAATCAAATCACAAAAAAAAAAAAGCTTGTTTCGATGAAACTTTTTGTCTTATTGAGATGAAGTCAATACCCTCGGATACCCTTCGCCGGTTGCAGAACCTGAGGAAGCCCAGCTGGTGTGCCAAGCACTGGCACTTCTTCCCGACGTACAACGTGCTGTACCCGGCAATGGGCTTGGGCTCCTACCTCGTCGTCAAGGAGCACGGCTTCGAGGGCCCAGCCAGGACTGCGCTCGTTCTTTACGCGGCACAATTGGGACTCACCTGGCTCTGGGTACCCATTATGTTCAAGCGACGATGCTTCGGACTGGTAATAAGAGACTACGCGGGCAGAAACTAGGGGAGAGGAGGAAACGAGAGAGCGCGGTATGTTGTTGTGTCTGGTGGTTTGAACCAGAAAGAAGAAACCGGTTATGTAAACTGATAACCGTCTTTATTAATCTTGCCGAATAGATCCCCTTGAATTAGCTTGCCATTCTTTGGCTTACCGAGCAGCTTGATAAACTATCGAAACTGAAATTAAAACACAACATTCTCCCCTACCTTAATGAACGTAGCAAACAACTTAGGGGTGGTGTGCAAAAAAAAAAGTGGGTAAAATTGAAATACAAATGATGTTCAACACTTTCAACAGTTCACTGTCCGTTCCGGTAACGTGGGGGCTTGAGCCCTCTTGAAGCTCTGGCAGGGTATCGACTGGCTGTCGTCTGGTCCAGCCATTCCGATGTTTTGTCCTGCTTGCTCTGGGGTGTCTTCAGCTGGAGGAGAAAGATCGTCATCTTCATCGTCCTCTTTCCCGTGCCACTTTAGATCACCGTTTATCTTCTTAAAGAAATTCGCGGTTCGAGTTATTACTCTTCCTCGCCGCCTCGCCGTAATCTTCGACCTTTGAACCTTTGTCACCACGTAGGGGTCTGGGTCGAAGTATGGCGTTAGTTTGTTCTGCTTTTTTTTGTTTCCACAATACTATATCCCCTTGTTTGAATGAGGGTTGTCCAGTGTGTCGTCGCTCGTCAGTGTATTGCGTAGATTTCCTTTTTGCGGCCTCGTCATCTTGACGCACATTGAATTCATGATTGCTCTGTAGCACATCAAGAAGTCATCCATGCCCTGCATTCAACCTCTTCCCTGGACAAGCAGAGGCTTGGTGGCCTCGGTTAAGGTTCGAACAAAGCGCTGTGCCTCACCGTTGGCTTAGGGCCAAAGTAGTGTCACCCTGTGATGTTTAAATTACAGTTCCGCTGCAAACTTCTTAAACTCGCTTGAGTTGAAAGGCGGCCCATTGTCGCTCTTGACTTGTTTAGGGATGCCCATCTCAGCGAATGTTCGTCTCAGAAATTGCAAAGTTGATGTCGCATTTGTCGAGGCTACTTGTCCTACCAATGAGAAGCGCGAGTACTCATCGATAAGAATGAGCAGGTACTTTCCATTCTGAAACGGTCCTGCGAAGTCGATACACAGGACTTTGCCATGTCTCATGAGGGAGAGGTGTTGGCTCCACAGGATCACGATGTGACGTGGGTGTTCAGACCTGGCATAGAATACAGTTTTGCACAGCCTGTTCGACTAACATGTCCACCCTGGGAAACCACACCGGGGTGCGGAGGGGTTGCTTGGTCTTTGCGATGGCCATGTGGCCTTTGTGCGCAAGCTCAACGGCGCGTTGCTGGATAACTGCTGGCAGCACGATCCTTGTGCCTCAAAAAATTATGCCCTCGGGCGTCATTGCAAACTTTGTCTCAAGGTGTATCTAGGGTTTGAGTGTGGAGCACTCCACAGGAGATGTCTCTCTGCACCCTTGGCTTTAATGGCTTGTCGCAGCTGGCAATATGTTAAGTCTTTTGCGGCTGCCTCGATTACTTGTTTTGTCGTCATTGCCTTTGGTATGGCTGCCTGTGACAGGAACAGAAGGTACTCATCAGGAACCTTATTTTTCCTGTAACCGTTCCGAGTGAACTTCAGTGGGTGGCATGACATGTAGTCAGATGGATTCCCTGTGCCCTTTGATGATGTATTGCGAAGTTGTAGAGCTGAATCCTCAGGCAGAGACGCTCGATTCTTGCAGGTAATCGCGCAGATGGGTTGGTCAGAATGCTGATCAGGGGCTTGTGATCAGTGTAAAGGTTGAACTGAGTCCCATACAGATACATATTGAAGTGTTCGATTGCCCACACGACATCCAGGGTCTCTTTTTCGATCTGGGAGTAGTTGCGCTCCGGATCCGTCAGACTACGGCTTGCCTAGGCGATCACTTGGAGTTCGTCACCATCTCGATGTGCAAGTATGGCTCCTAGACCTTGCAGACCTGCATCCACAGTTAGGCGGGCGGTCTTCTTGTCGAAGTAGGCCAGGGCGTGGCTGCTTGTGGGTGTGTCCTTAAGCTTGTTCAGCGCTGCCTGACGCTCCATGGTCCACTGCCAGTCAACATCTTTCCTTGTGAGGTTGCGAAGAGGTGCGGTGAGGTCTGCCAGGTTGGGGATGAACCTTCCCGGGTAAGTCATCATGCCCAGAAGACGCCTCACCTCTGCCGGACTGTTTGATGGGGACACGTCAAGAAACGCTTAGACTTTTGCCGGGTCGGGTTGCATTCCTTTTGCAAAGAAGATGTGCCCAAAAGAATGCCAATTCCCGTTGGGAGAAAGAGCACTTCTTCGGGTTGAGTGTGAGTCCACAATCCGTGAGGCGTTGTAGCACGGTTTCCAATGAGTCATCATGTTCTTCCATACGCTAAGATGTCGTCACTGATGTTAGTGACTCCTGGGATGCCAGCGAGTACTTGTCGGACTGTGTTCTGGAACAGCTGCAGCAGCATTGATTCCAAAGTTCAAACGCTTGTATCGGTAGAGTCCGATATGGGTTGCAAACGTTGTGATGTTTCTCGAGTCCTCGTGCAATACTAGCTGGTGGTATCTGTCGTTGAGATCTAGTTTCAAGAAGACAGACGCGCCATTGGGGCTTGTGACGATCTCATCTAGCGTTGGGGATACATGCCGCTCTCTGTTGATGGCTTTGTTTGCTCGGCGCATGTCTACACACATCTGAACAGTGTCCGGTGCATGTGGCTTTGGTACAATGACGATGGGAGAGACCGATGTAGTAGGCCCGAGGCTTTCTCGACTACATCGAGCTCCTCCAGTCGCCGTACCTTTTTTGTGACCAGCTCAAGTATGTTGAACGGGATGGGCCGTAGCTTCTTTGCCACTGGTGGAATTGATTGATCGATATGCAGTTTTGCTTCAATTCCTTTAAGCTTTCCTAGTCCTCTGAATAGCTCGGGGTACGTCTCTTAAATGCCCTGCGAAGAAGAAAACTTGTACACGAATGAGACAAGTCCCGGACCATCGACTGACTTGAAGCACAACAGTGACTCACTTGGCGTCCTTGCCACCAATATGGTATTCCGCAACTTGGTGTCCTTGTAGCAGAGTTCAGGAGAAAACTTGCAAAATTAGAGGAAGTTCTGTTCTTGATCCGTACGCAAACACTTCTGGTGCTGGGCCACCCAGGGTCGGTTTGCCTGGGATCTTGCTGTGCGTGTAATGGCTATTGACGTTTACCGAAGCTCGTGTGTCCACGATAAAGTTGTAGCGGCAGCTGTCGGCAGCGATGCAGCGCTTGAACGGCGCCAAGCTCACGGGACAGGCACGAGCTAAGGACACGAGGTGCCTGGACCACGAGCTGCACGGAATCTGGAATTCGGCGAAGGGCCCCTCGATGAGCTAGTCAAAAAGGACAGTGTAAATATTGTAAATAAATATGTAGAGTGTGATTTACCGAGCCTCCACTCCTACAAAGTCAATGTCACGATCACCAATGGTCAACGTAACTTTTACAGCCTTTAAGTTGTTGAGATGTATCGTGAAAGCTTGGTCGTCCGAATCAGAGTTTGAACTGTGTTCAACCAGCCTGTGAGCCATGTTGGGTCCACCTTCTTGGCCCTTTCCCCGGTATACGTTTGCGAAGTCTCCCCGCTTTTAGAGGCGAAGCTCCTTAGAGTCTAACCTTGTCCGGCGTCCGTGCTCACATCGATTGCCCTGCCACCGGAATCAACCCACCTAAAAAAAAAAAAAAAAAAACGAACGCCCGCACGAGGGTTCCAACTCAGGACCGATTGCTTACGAGGCAGACGTCTTAACCACTACGCTACAATCTTTTTTTCTTTTTTTAAGAGATGTTTATTTGCAGGTTAAAAACGTAAGTAGCAAGAATGGAAACAAATGTATATACATACTTTAGAGCAAAAGAAAAAAAAAGAACGTTACATAATTTAGACATTGCATTCAATGACCCAAATCAGTTAATGACTACAACACTGTTAAAGAGTGCAGTAACCTCAGCTCTGGATGTGTATTGCACTCGAAGATCTTAAAAAAAAAATATTTTAGAGTGAGGCACTTGCGAAGGCTACGGAGAGTCTTCTTGAAGAATACAAATTTGGTGCTACCTTTTGACCTTTTCCCAGAGTGTTTTTCAGATTGTTTTTCTATTTCAACTGGTTCTAAAGTTCAAATAGTCCAGTCCAATTTGTTAGCAAAGTGCCGCCACGCAGGTTAAGGGTTCAGTGTGCACTCTGTCATGTCTACTCTTGACCGCCATAGCCCATGTAGGCCTAAAACCATGATTATCTCCGTCAGGTCAGTCAGCGTCCTTTTGTCGTGCAGCCGTAGGAATTTCAAAGTACACCAACTAATTGACTCTTCAGGTCATCGTGGTTGGACAGGATGAAATCCTGCTCGGTGATGGGAGCTTTGGGAGATGACGATTTCGTTCGCCTCTTCCTCCTCCTCTTTGATTCCGGCCTCTCCCCTTGACATGTGTAGCCAGGATCTGACGTGCATAGAATCTGTTCTCCCCTTTTAGAGCGCAGCTCTTAGGCGCCCGTTTCCGGCTTGAGCGGCGTCGCCGTCGCCGTCGGCGTAACCGCGCAGGGCATTATGGGTAAATTTTCCCGAAGGAACCCGAGGTCCTCCCGAAGGAACCCGAGGTACTTGGGGAGGACCTCGGGTTCCTTCGGGAGGACCTCGCAAGGACCTCGGGTTCCTTCGGGAGGGCCTCCGGAGGACCTCGGGAGGACCTCGGGTTCCCTCGGGAGGAAACAAGGGGGGGGGGGGTCACGTGACGATGACGTCATCAGTGACGATGACGATGTGGATGCCGATGACGTCATCAGTGACGTCACTGATGACGTCTTCAGTGACGATGACGATGGCGATGCGGATGCCAATGACTTCATCGGCATCGTCATCATCACTGATGACGTCATCGTCACGTGACCCCCCCCAGGACCTCGGGTTCCTTCGGGAGGACCTCGGAAGCACCTCGGGTTCCTTCGGGAGGGCC